TGGCACAAACGCAATGATTTTTTTTTTCCTCCTAACTAAATGCCTAGTGTCTTAGCTATCTCCCGAATTGTTATTATTTTAGGTAACTCTATTTTTACTGCCTAAATTCTTGATAGCATTATGTGAAAATAAAATCCCAATTAATCTTTATTTTGAATGTTTAATGTAACAAGTGAAATTAATTTTTAAAAATGTAAAATTAATTTTGTGAAAGCATTTTAAAACCTCTCTCAATAATAGGAGCTCTGCCACTCCTCCGAAGGAAGGTTGGGCGATCTACTACCATAGTGATACAGCCTCGGAAACCCAAAGAGGGGTCCTATGAGTAGGACCCGACTCTGCGGCAGTGTGTTGCATTTTTGTTTTGATGCTCAATAATAATAACGCATCAAGGATAATTTCTACTTTTATCAAATTCTAGACATTATGGGAATGAAGACGAACGATGAAAAGTGAGTTAACAAATGGGAGAAATAAATATTTTCTATGAAGAGAAAGCAGAAGATTTCTAAAAATTGGTTTCTGGAGTCTCACACATTCTCATTTCAGGCAAAACTATATAATGTAATTGTAATTACTTTTATTGCTTCATCAAATAGTATGATGCAATTCAACTTTTAGTTATACAATGATAACTTAAAATATAAAACAGAAGCATTAAAACTTCTTTTGAAGATTTGTCTTTCTCTACAAAGAGAAAAAGAATTTGTAACTGCTATTATACTGTCAAGTCCTTAGGACAAAATTAGAGTCAAAACCATTACCTACAAACTGTTACTACTTTTGTGTCAAGTCCCTAAAACAAAATTAGAGTTGAGACTATTAAACTATCCCAAATTAAACCAAATGCTCCGCTGCTAACTTCAGTGGTGGTGGTTTAAACCTATGCGATGGTTCTTTGGCAGAAAGATGTGTAGGTCTATTTCCATAAGGATTACAGCCAAGAAAACCCTGTGGGGAAGTTCCATTCTGTCGGATGGGGTTACACTTAAGAACGAACACCAACAAATGAAACCACACCACACGAAACCATAACATTAGAACTGAAACTGTTAATTGCAAGTGTTTAAAAACAATGGTTCTCAAGTAAGACTGGTAAAGACTTTGTTCACTACTAAATGCATACTCTCTGGCAAAATGGTTTTACCCTCTCTCCTCCGTTTTTACTCTGTCTCTCCCATGGAAGTGCAGTTACCTTACCTGTATGTAGAGCTGTCTCCCTGACTAAAATCTGAGCACATCAAAGCCAATCCTTGCCTGGCATACAGAAGGCACTTCATAATTTTATGTCTCATGAACAAATGACTAATGCTCTGTGCTAATTTTGACACTTGAATTTCGATTTCAAAAATGAGGCAATGATTTCTACCACATTTAATGCCTGTTAAAATAACACTTTCCTTTTATGTTATTGTTGTTGTTATGTGCCATCTAATTGGATCCGACTCACATCAACCCCTCCTTGGGTTTCCGAGGCAGTATCACTACGGAAGTATATTGCCTCATCTTCCTTCGGAGGAGTGGCTGGTGGGTTTGAACCACCAGGCTTCTGATAAGCAGTCAACTGCCTTAGGCACTACACTACCAGAGCTCCCACTTTCCTTTTATAAGCAGTTATAAATATAATCAAACTCAACTTTGGAGACATTGTTAATATCATAACTTACTTTAAGCCAATCAATCAACACTGGTTTTTTTTTTTTTTGGTTATGTGCCAGTGGAGTTGGCTCCGACTCATAGCGACACCTCCTTGGGTTTCCAAGGCAATAGTATCACAATGGAAGTAGGATTGCCCAACCTTCCTTCTGAGGACTGGCTGGTGGATTTGAACCGCCAGCCTTCTGGTTAGCAGTCAAGTGCCTTAGGCACTGTGCTACCAGAGCTCCTATCCAACACTGGTGTGGTATTAAAAAAAAAAACAGAAGCCTCTGATGATCCGTCCCCTCTTTAAGATTCATTTACTTACTGTGGAAGAGGTCTACATCTTATTTTTATTTTTTCTCTATAGTATTAATGCAAGTAAGATATTTGGATCTAAACAAATCTAAGTATTTTTCCTAAATTTATTCTAAAATGTAGTTAGAACCAACCATTATATAAAATAAGATGAATTGAATATAAAGAATTGAAATGATACAAGAAATATTAATCTAGACTAGAGAGCAAGTAAAATGAGCTAAGAAGTAAACTAATTGGCAGATCTTGGACATCCACATCCACTCTTCAGTCCAACGAGTTACCGTTTATAAAGTCACTATAATATTCAAGAATGGGCAAGAAGGAAGTGAGAGGATACTTTGAATTCATAAACTCACACAATAAATGATTAATCCATACATTTAAGATGCTATTTTTGAAGGAGAGAAAAGAACATTCAGTTCAATATTTTTGCTACTAACAGTAAGGAAAACAAAGAAATTTTCAAATTCCCTGCTAGATGTAGGGATTTATTTTTGTAATTCATTTATTTAAGACTTCATGACTGTAGATTCATGACAGACTCACCAATTTTATTTATTCATTTACCAGCTTGTGTTACTTACTGGCCCTGTTGCCATTGAATGAGGGAGATCGAAGAAGAATTGATACATTTGAATTATGTTGTTGGTTAAGAATATTGAACATACCATGGACTGCCAGAAGAATAAACAAATATGTCTTGGAAGAAGAACAACCAGAATGCTCCTTAGAAGTGAGGATGGCTAGACTTCATTTCACATATTTTTGGACATGTTATCAGGAGGGACGAAAAAGAGGAAGACCCTCAATGAGATGGACACAGTGCCTGCAACAGTGGGCTCAAGCACAGCAAGGAATTTGAGGATGGCACTGGACCAGGCAGTGTTTTACTCTTGCACAGAGACACGCTATTGAGTTAGAACTGACTTGACGGCCTCTAACAACACTTCATGCTTGTCTTTATTCAGAGACATAAAACCTACATTTTCAGTATAAAGATAATATCATATACATTTTGGTGCCTTCTAAATCATTTCTTAATTCTAGGTTTAACAAGTCTCTTTCAGTCTATTCCCTCGGGATATTTTCTTTTTCCTCATTCATTAGAACAGTTTCTGCTAACACTGCTGAGAAACGTAGTATAAGTTTGTCAAGATCTTCTTGGTACATTCATATATAAGCAACTCAAAGCTTGCTTTTCTTGTTTCTTCTTGCCTACAGCTTAACAGAGAACATTTCTCTTTGTAAACTAATGGAGTTACTAGTAGGAATCTTATTTGCAAAATAGTCCTGATAATATTTCTAAAGTTTATAAAAGAAAAAAAAAAAAAAAAAAAACAGAGCCAAACAAAACAACAACTAAAACACATTTCTGATAATTTCAAGACTGTACAACATGATTAAGAACTACCAACTCCAGAGTTTGTGCCTTTCCTTTTAATCATTTGTCTAAATAACATTTATTATGTAGCAGTTAGGATCTGGAGTTCAGGATTCAGAGAGACTTTGAGGCAGATTTTGGCTAGGTCAGCTCTATGGCCCTTGAAAAACTATTTAATTACTAAGTTTTCTGAGCTGATAATGAGAAGAATAATTAAAGCCATCCTAGAGTGTCATTGTGAGATCTAAATGAGATAATGCTTCCAAAATGTTTAGCTAAGTAGCAGATGTATCTGAGCTCCGCACTTGTTACAAACATCAACAAATTTACGCTGGTCTTTGGCTTGCAGTGATAATGTATGCTTGTGACAGAAAGCTGTTTCCACTACCTCATCATACTTGATGATATGCTCTGCCACACAATAGACACAGACAAACAGGGTCAATAGAGCCTCTTCTTAAGCAAATGCCAATCTGAAATTCTGTTGGCATAATAGCAAGAGCTTATGGCCCTCTGAACATAATTTATGAATTATTACATATATTTACCAAAATTAGCTGATTAACATGAAAATGAATGGGAATGAATTCATTCATTCAGTATGAATCTCTGCAGTTATCCCCTTAGAAGCTTTGCATAGTGGCTTTGGAAAATATTTAAATCTCAAAATTCCCACAATGAATCTGAGGATCTGCTCTTGGCTTGATATCCACTCTTCAATTTCATGCACTCATTTCCCGAATCAGAAATATAGGGTGTTTTAGATATTCAGATTCTAATACACCTTGAAATGTTTTACAGATTTATTGGCCTGCTGCAAAGGAACGGGTGGAATTATGCAAATTAGCTGGCAAAGATACTAATGTAAGTATGAGACTTTTAAAAATAACTTTGGTAAACTAATAATGATATGATTATAAAATTTGATAACTCACTGCCATCAAGTTGATTCCAACTCATAATGATTTCCATTGGGATTCCAGGGTGGTAAATCTTTACAGAGTAGATTGCCCCATCTTCCTTCTGAAGAGCAGCTGGTGGGTTGGAGCCATCAACCTTCTGGTTAGCAGTCAAATAAATGCCTTAGACATTGTACCACCAGAGCTCCTTAAAATATTTGATATTGGGTTTTATATATTGAATGAAGCTACTGTATTTTTTTAAGATTTCATTAGCATATTCTCTGGAACAATTAAATGATAAAATATTTCCACCTTGCCAAAAGGAATAGTATTATTTAGAAAAATTCAGAAACATAGAAGTAAAATGCTTCTAATGTGTTAATTCTGAATATTATTAGTTTATTTACCAAAAATATTCCTAAAAATAAACCACAAAAAATCATTATGTATCTAGCATTGTGTATTTTTAACTCATGTGCATCTATTTGTAAAACCAAAAACTAAACCAAACTCACTGCCATTGAGTGGATTCCAACTCATAGTGACCCCCACTGGGTTTCCAAGATGGTAAATTTTTCGGAAATATATTGCCTGGTCTTCATTCCTTGGAGTGGCCAGTGAGTTTGAACTGCCAAACTTCTGCTTAGCAGTCAAATGCCTTAGGCACTATGAGTCATTGGTTATTTTAGTATTACAACTATACAATTGATATTTAACTTAATTTGGGTTAAAATTAAACTTAAAACACCTAGAGGAGTTATTTCCTAAAATGGAATTATGGTCATAACTAGAAGCATTGGTTGAGAATGAATGGCACAGCATTCTGGGGTAAGAACTAGGAATAAATTACAATTTAGTGATGTCTTCATATAAACTTCTAGTTGAAGTTATCTTAAGGACCAGAGAAAAGTGTAAGACGTGTATGGCTAAATTAATCATCTTCAGTGTGGCCCTGTCTGGATTGCTTTTACATTGTCCAAGTGGTCCTGTGTGTTCCCCCAAATTGTGTTGCTTGTGTTATCTCCAGCAGTGACTACAAAGTGCTGTGACTCAGACGCGGCCTCTCCTCATCTGAGTGCTCTGACTCAGGCCACATGCTCTGTGTTGTGTCCTGACTTCCCGGTCACACTGGGGTGAGGGGGATATTTGCTCCTCTTTGGCAAAATAAACCACTTCCTGAATATAAGTCAAGATGAAAAGAGGTTCTAATCTTGGCCTGAAACACAGACATCTTGAGGCTTCTTTGTAACCACATTTAACCTTGTCCTGACCACAATAACTCAAGTGTATCCAATGGAAAAAAGCCTTTAAAATGAATAACAACAGATAGTGTGTTTAATATAGGAAAACACAATTACATAAAATTCCCATTTTATCAATGTGATAGAAATAAAGCAACATAAAACATGACACCTAGTGAATTGCGGGAGATCTCAGAAGACTGAGCATCTAGGATAACAGGTTTGTTCATTCATTTAACAAATGTTTACTAAGAGTCTTAATTCATAAAACTGTTATGGTATCTGTTTTCATAGGGCTTTCAATATAATGGTGGATACATGTATTACTCCAAAGGTGACTTAGGGTACTTATAGTAACAGTACTTCAAAAACAAAACACCACAAAACAAAGAAATCTGTATTTATGCCTGATTTTGTATTCGGTTAGTATTAAATGCAATTTTTTCAGGAAAATTTTTGTTAGCAGAAAGACATTAGAAGTGTTAGCATCAAATGCAATGAGAAATAATTTTTAAATTTATTTTACTGGAGGTGAAAGGATTGAAATATTCTAGAATATATTTTACATCCTCCTTTGCCTCTAATCTTCTCACCTTGCTCAATATCCCAACTCTGAGTAGGTTCCCAGAGCTGTAAAGACATCAACATTTTATTGAACTCATGGGTGGAAAATATATATATATATATGTATGTACACACACACACACATACATAGGGAGCTCTGATAGCGTAGTGCCTAAGGCATTTGACTGCTAACCAGAAGGCTGGCGGTTCAAACCCACCAGCCACTCCTCGGAAGGAAGGTTGGGCAATCTACTTCCATAGTGATACTGCCTCGGAAACCCAAGGAGGGGTCGTTATGAGTCGGGTCCTACTTGACGACACATAACAACAACAACACACATATACATATATATGTGTACATACACACCCATAATATATATGTTCGGGGGGCTCTTAAAAATCCTTTTGTTTAATTAACAGTAGAAACATGATATAACCAGTTTGAACATTTTTATATTTTGTGCTTCACTGGTATGAGCATATGATGAGGAGGAAACAGGCAAGAAGGAAAAGGACGTTATCAATCTATTCCAATGAACTAAAGTCAGTTTTCCCATGTAGGTGAAGGTAAACCTTGAAGGTCAAACCATCAGTGAAAGTTTGCATTTGCCAGTGATCTCGTTTCAGTATGTTTACTAATTCCAGTTATATAGTAACTCAATTACGCATATTATTAAGTTAAAGCAAAGGGTGATAAACTTTTCTGGAGGTGTTGCCTTAGAGAATATAGGACTCTGATTATGGAATATATACTTCCAATTCAATTCTGTTAAACATCTCCTGTAAATTTTAAATGTATCTACTGCTAACCCAATATTAGAGATCTATGGTACCTTTCTCTTTTTACTAAAGTTTGTAAAATTTCATTTTAAATCATATAAAGGTAATATAAGTCTTTGTCACTTTCCCTTTTTTAATTTGACCTTTAAAAATAGTATTTTGGAGTTGTTAATTATAACTAACAAAATGAAATCTCTTTCCCAATATCACATAGTTAGTAAAGAGTATAACCAGGAATTGAATCCAGAAGTCTTGTCCTGGAGTCTATAGTCTCATGTAATATTATAAAATCTATATTTTTTTGTTGTTTATTACCATCAAGTTGATTTTCACTCAAGGTAACCCCATGTGTGCAGACTAGAACTGCTCTATGCAGTCTACAAAAATAAAAAATAAAAAATAAAATCTACATTGCTATATGCCATGGAGTCAGACCAGATTCATAGTGACCCTCCTTAGGTTTCTGAGGTGGTATCACTAGGAAAGTAGATTGCCCAACCTTACTTCTGAGGAGTGGCTGGTGGGTTTGAACTGCCAGCCTTCTGGGTAGCAGTCAAGTGCCTTAGGCACTATGCTACCAGAGCTCTTATATCCTTGAAGTTATTTTCATGGGGCTGCTATGAGTCCTAACCAATTTTATGGCAGTGGCTTTGTTTTTTATATTGTCTCTTCTTTCTCCAATATTACCAGCCAATAGATACTCACTATTACGTAGACATCATTACATAGTTTTCAGTCAACAGAAAACTGAGACAAGTTTGTGGTTTTATTGACATCTTTTACTACCTTTGGCATTGCTGTCTCCCTTCCCTCCTCCCTAGTAATTTTTACCTACTTCCCTAGAGTATGTTTAGAATTAACAAGTGTTTGGAAAGACTGTCCCTTTACACAAAGGTACTATATAACTGCAAAGTAGTGAATTATTTACCATAATGAAAGTTAGCTAATTTGGGTGGGGAAGGAGTGGAAGATAAAGAAACAAAAGAGAACTATTCCACTTTCTTCTGCACAGTCCTCTGTCCAGTCCAAGCTCCAGTTCATACAAGTAAAAGAAATTTAAAAAAAAAAAAAAAAAAAAAAAGGGAAGAGGAGCCAGGAAGATACTTGGTAGTATTTTGCTTTCATTTGGAAAAAGGCGATTCAAAACAAAGTCATTAAAGAAAAACCTTCAGTCCTCACTATAGACATTGGAGTTCTGGTGGCATAGTGCCTAAGGCACTTGACTGCTAACCAGAAGGCTGGCGGTTCAAACCCACCAGCCACTCCTCGGAAGGAATATGAGGCAATCTACTTCCGTAGTGATACCACCTCAGAGACCCAAGGAAGGGTCACGATGAGTCGGTTTGACTTGACGGCACATAACAACAACATAGACATTGGATTAAACAGCTTAGTTCAGGCAACAGAAGATACAGGTTAGAGGCAGCCTGAACTGTTTGTCAGCTTAACCATCGTGGTGCATAACCATACCTTGGTGTCAGTTCCCTCAGATGTTAACTGAGACATTGCATAGAATTAGATTTTACAGCACTAAATTTCTATGATCCTATAGCTTCAATAAATTATAAAAGTAAAACAAAATATTCAGTTTAAAAAATTCGCAAGTTGTATAAAAGTAAAAAAGATAAACAAATCATCGGTAAATAACCCTTCTGCCATGAACACTACACAGAGATAACTGGTGACATTTTGATATTTATTTTTCAATCTTATCTATTTACTATTTTTCAGAATGAAATCATTGTATACATAGTCCCTTAAAACATTTTTTCACTTAGCAGACTGCCATGAGCATTTTCCCATGTCATTAAATTCTTTTTTTATAACACTACTTTTAATAGCTACATAGCATTCCTTTATACATTATTTCATCAATCCCCTATTGTTAGAAACTTGGTAAGTATCCAATTTTTACTATTGTAAATGATGCTGCACATGAAAAATGTTTTATGTAGATATTGCAAACATCTTTCATTATTGAATAGAGTTACTGGCTAAAGAATACAAAAAATGTTACATGCATATTGCCAAATTGCCCTCCAAAAAGTGAGTACCTTTATACCCTCACCAGTAATGCAATCTTATGAGAGAAGGATATATTTCCCCAGGTTCTTGCCAATATTGGAGACAACATAAAGTTGTACATTAAATACAGATGCATAATGATAAATAAATATATTTAATCTTTGCCAACAATAAGAAAAATTATTTTTGTTGTTTTATCTTGAAATTCTTTCCTTGTTACAAATATATATTTTTAAATTAGGATTTCTTTTTTGAATGTCTTTATAATTTGTTCATTTTTAATTGTAGTTTTTGTACTTTCCTTACTAACTAGTATAAGATTTATAAGACTTATCTATGCATAAATATATGT